CTCCAGCAAAATTCATGTTTGGTCGGGAACTTCGGTTGCCAGTGGATCTGATAACAGGATGCCCACCTTATGAAGAGTTGCCTGAAAATGTGTCAAGTGCATTCAAACTTGAAAACATCTGCTGATTCGATGAAGTTATCTCATGATAATAGATCTACTGAAGTCAGCTTTGTGCCAGGAGACAAGGTGTGGTTGTATAATCCCAGGAAGACCAAAGGGAAGTCTCCTAAGTTGTCTTCTCCATGGGAAGACCCATATGATATAGTGGATCGTCTCTCAGACGTGACTTTCCGGATAAAATGTGGTCGGCAAGGTAAGCCAAAGGTGGTGCATGCCAACAGGCTTTGGCATTATCATGGTCCAGGACATTTCATTTGGGACGAAGTGAACAACGGAACAAATGACTCTGCTGAAAACGTGTCACCAGAAAAGCCACTGTCGAAGAAGTAACTCTACTCGGTTTTAAGAAGGGAAACAGTGAAGCTCTTGATGAAGTTACTACCAATGATAGGACGTTTCCTGATGAAGCAGATGAACCCCACACGAAGCAGAAGCCAATGAGACCAGTACGGAAGAAGATACGTTCCATAAAATTAAGAGACTTTGTTGAATTTTAATTTTGTGTTTGTAAATTCTGTACATTTAATTAAGTTATTGTTAATTGTTTATTAGTTTAATGTAAGTGGCTATTGTTCGGGATGAACAATACTAAGGAAGGGGCAGTGTTACGACAGCGGGGGTCACATGACGCTAGTTACGTGCATCTTCTCGAATGTTCACGTCCCTTCCTGAAGTCTCGAGAGGTACTAGATATGCGGTAGTCTTATATATATATAAGCCACCAAGAAGTGACAGCAACAATGTAATGTGTAATTGAACTGCAGGCAGAGATAGATACGGACAGTTGAGTCAAGCACGTGAGACGTTCGTTGTGAATTATAGCAGTTGTTATAGCGTGACTATGGAAATTAAGTGTATCGCAAACTTGTATTCAGAAAGAGTAAACCAGTTTTACTTAAGAAAGTACTTGTATCGCTAAAGTTTCTTCGGAAATAATTTTTAAGGAAAATTAACTAATGAACAGAGACGTAACAATATCTTTAAATCTGTTTGATCACCACAAGAGTGAGTGACATTAACAACATTTCAATCATTTTAAGGTCTAATAGGCATAAATATCTAAAATTTTTGCTGAAATCCTGGAGATTTCTTTGCTTTCAACAAATAACTTCTTCATATCAGTCAAGGATTCTCTTATTTCACCCCCAGATCACTTTTCCTTCCTACCCTTTGTATTATGTCTTGTCAGTTTGCAGAAACATATCTTTGATGGTATATTACATGAAAGATGGAAAAATATTTTTGAGGCTACTAATTCTGCAATTTTTAGATCATAGTAAAAGATACTAAACTCTTTCTTGAGATTTAGGAAGGATAAAGTATACACTGGAATAATTACTACAATATAAATCTAGCATTTGGAAGGACAGGTGTAACGGTTTGTTGTAGTTGAAATGAAAGAAACAAAAAATATACATGAAAACAGAGGTGAATTAGAGCAAGGACTGATCATATTAGTTGGAAGGATTATTGTCTTGTGTAAATTAAGATAGAATAGACCAGGGGCTCCCAAACTGGAGATCATAGGAAAGTGGCAGGAGAGCCATAAGATTCATTTGGTGGGGGCTAAGTCAAGATGCAAAAGACTGGAGGAATTTTGCTCGAGAAAGTTTGGGATCCTATGAAATAGATTACAATTAAATGAAATTTTAATCAAAGAAATTTAATTTAAATAAAATAATATTAAAATAAACTTTAATTGAAAATAAACTAAAAACTGATTGATTAGTTAACTAAAAAAAAGGTGTACAAAATCAAAAGAATGATGAAATAAGTCACAGTTGAAACTCCACCTCAAGTTCTGACTCTTCTGATACAGAAATAAACCTGACTGAAAATACCAAAACTGCTCTCATAATTCACATGTTCATCTTTGTTCCATGTGACAACTGTAAGGTGTTCCCACATAAAAAGTGGTACAACACGTCAAACAGTAGAAAGCCTTTTCTTACTGAACCCTGCTACAAAAAATAGTAACCCTAGAGTTGAATTACAACATAGCTTCGATTTAATTTACTGTTTTCTGAATTAGAATCTTACAAACATTTTTGTAAGTAGGAGAGTGAGATGTGTGATATAGCTTGTGGCACATATGTAGGTATGTATGTAGATACAGAATATATATGTGTATATATTATTAGTGAATAAAGGTGGTTCTGATGACTGTACATATAGTGTTATATACAATTAAGAAGCCTTTAATATAATATCTTCCAAATAATGTCTTACATGTATTTATTATGATTACTATATATTAAAAATAAATTAACTTTCTTCTTGTAAAAACATCAACAGAAAATCTGTTGATTTCCACTTAAATACACACACACACACATTTTTGATAGAACTGTATTTTCAACTACAGGGTGATTATAAAGAAAAATTTGCAGTTTAGCGCATCATGTCTCATAAACTGTATGGCACAGGAAAATAAAATTGCACAGGGGTGTTAAGGATATCTGGTGGATGTAAATGCCATGGTTGTCACAAGGGGAGCTACTATGATTCATTGTTGTATCAATCACAGCAAATATTCAAAATGTACTTCTCTAGCATGCAGAATGCATTGCATCCGTATGACAACAGAGTACAGCAACAATGTACATCTCATCTGGTGCGTTGGCCACTTGCCGGACAATTACGTCGTTTGTTGTAATAACATTTCCCTAGTTCATCTCTCTGTTGGAGGAATGAGCTGCATTGCGATTGACAAGCTCATTTATATCCATGGGAAATATGGTGGCAACATGTGATACTTGTGGCATTTGACACTCCTTTTTGAGAGATATAACATGCTAATCTGTGAAACTTTCTTTATAATAACTCTGTATTTGCATTTAAATTGTACATTAGTCGGCATTAATAATCATATAGTATTAATTGTTGTTATTATTATACAGTGTTTAACCCAAATTCTAACGAGTAAATATTTGAAACACATATAATAATAATTCTAATTATTGAGACTGTAAGCAGCGTCGGAGCGCTGCTTCGATTCCACTACATTCTTACGTAATGTGCAATCTTTCTTCAGACGCCACTAGCTCACAGAGTTTTAAAATTCTTCAACTTATTAATGAGTTAAGGCTAAACCTTAAAGAAGACAGTTGGATGTTTCACTCAAGTGGAGAATCATTACATGAAATTAACACAAGAAGCTTTTGCCAATTAGCTACAAGAGTCGTTAGCAGAATGTGGAGTCCACGGTATAATTACTCAGATGCCTTGACAAGGCAAACCATCCATAAAACAAGCATGTGACCAATATCTGTCTATTCTGGCTTATTGCAGGTATAAGGTATTCTATAAAACAAACATGTGACCGATATCTGTCTATTCTGGCTGATTGCAGGTATAAGGTATTCCATAAAACAAGCATGTGACCGATATCTGTCTATTATGGCTTATTGTAGGTATAAGGTATTCCATAAAACAAGCATATGACCGATATCTGTCTATTATGGCTTATTGTAGGTATAAGGTATTCTATAAAACAAGCATGTGACCGATATCTGTCTATTATGGCTTATTGCAGGTATAAGGTATTCTATAAACAAGCATGTGACTGATATCTGTCTATTCTGGCTGATTGCAGGTATAAGGTATTGGTGTAGTAATTTCATTTCTGTATTGTTTTTTCAGCTCTGATTCGAGCCCGAGACTTCTTGCACACCAAGGCAAGTGCTCTCCCAACTGAACTAAAGGATTAACTCACACCTGTTTCAAGACTAAATTTAGTTATATTTCTGAAGTTTTAATTTTATAACTTTAATTGTGTTTTCAATGAATATTTCATAAAATGTTAAGTGAACATATTTTCCACACAATTTTATATAGATGTATATCCTCCAGTATCTGAAAATAAACTTATTTTGCTAAATTCTTTATTTTTTTTTTATGAAATTATGTCAGTAGTTGGTATTTTTCAAACTTCTGAGTACTTCAGGTTACGTTTTTCACTTGTTTCCTATTTATAACAAAATAATTCTCGATGCTTTTCATTATTAATTTGAATGAGGATTAAGTTCAATTACTATAAAATCATTATTCTGTTATTTCTCCTATGAAACAGTATAATGAATGCATGAAAGTTACAATATTGATTTATATATTGCCTTTTATTGTTGTTATTATACTTGCACATTCCTCTAGTTTATATTATAGCCTTTTTGTATTCATATGGCTTATCTATTGGTGAGAAAAATACCTTTCTATATTTGTTTTCTCAAATTTCGAAAATGATGGGAATTCAGATTAAGTAAGAAAATGTACAATATTTATTTGATTATAATTTACCTTAAAACAACCAAACTTTAATGTTATTACATGTATTTGACACAATTAAAGATGAACTAATAGATGCTTATTTAAATCCCAGTCTCGGAATTGGACTTGATTAGTTTTGTAAGATCTTTAAGCATTATATAAAACCACTGATGTCAAAGCAGATTTTATAATATTGTATTGTTATTGATTGAAAAAAATATATAGGATTTACAGCATTATATTTGTCTCTGATATTTGATTTTTTCTTTTTTGTTAATTTTATTCTGTGGGTGTTTATTTTTTGTCATTCAGTATACAGGGTGGCATAAAAGTCATACCTCACAGGAATTTTGAATAACAGTAACACAAAATAATCACTTTTTTGTATATTAAAGTAAATGTTTGAATTGTTGTTCATTAACTTTGAATCAATAGGTGTTTGGAAGTTAATGGCTTGTAATTTGAATATTTACTTTAATGTACAAAAAAGTAATTAAGTTTTTTATTGCCATTCAAAATCTCTATGGGACTTGACTTTTGCACTACCCTGTATAATGTGTTACAAACAATGTATGCCAAAGCACGGCTAGGTTCATGGTTTCTAATTTGATGAGGTAAGTTAGTTTGAGTTTTTATATTTATTATTTTAGCTCATGTATCTTGGCTGTCATTGGTCAATGATAATGATTAATATTTATAATTACATAACTCAATGTAAATATTTTATTTCTTATTTGCTTTATAGTCCATAGTCATTTATTAACATTTTTTTTTAACTTTGTATCTATTTATATAGATATGTTTTTACAAATTAAAAATCTCTTAATATTTAAACATGTTTTCTTGTAACTGTTTAATTTGTACCTTAATCATATATTCTTTACTGTCCCTTTTCACTCTAAGAAGTTTAACTGGCTAGAGTTTTGTGACATTTTGTTCCTGTTTCATATATCTGCAGGGAGATTTTGGGCTCAGACATCTAATGCTTCAGATTCATCCCAGCCTGTGGTAAGTATACAAAATAATACAGGACTTTTCTTGTTGTGTTTTTTATTTTCCATGTATTTGTGTGTAAAATGATATTCTCATTTTCACACTAATGGTCTCAAATTTCGTTTCTCTTTTATTGTGGTTGTTTCAATATAAATCCATTAATATGTATATTCAGCTGTTAAGATAATGTAGCAGAAGCAAGTTATCTAAGATGTAGTCATGTTTTAATACCTAGTCTAGGACTTGTTTCTGGAATTTAGTCATGTGATGAGCAATAAAACCTCTTGTTTTGCAGATTTCAAGCAGTAGCTGTCCATTTATATTATTGAGTCATGGTCATCTTTCCTTCAGTCCTGTGAAGTTCGGTTCTCATTGGTCCAATGCAGTAAGTATTTGAAATTATAAAAAAAAACGTGTAAAGCATTTTTTTATTGGAATTTTACCTTAATATTATTTAATTCTAATCCAAATTTAATACAGGTGATGGGAATCATTAAGTATGATAGAAGCTTAATGCTTGTGTTTTGTATTATATATTTCACTGAAATTGATTACGAATTAAAATATATTTTCAATGTGTATGGAATTCTGTACAAAACAAAAAGTATTTAGAATATAAACACTTGATAGGTAAAGAAATTTAAGTCCTAAAGGTGTATATAGTAAATGTAAAATGAAATTTTTAGGAAGTAATTACTGATACTGACACATTTGTACTTAAGGGTATTTGGCATGAGTATATTATAAGGGTTGTATAAAAGATATATTGTCCATGTCAAAACACATGTAGATTAAGATAAAATATAAAAAAGGCAAAACTTTCAAATTAGACATTGAAAACAAAGGACAAAAGTTATTTCAAAGAGTATTCAAGTTTCATCCGTTTAATAGAAACCTCTATTTGGGTATAAAGTTATATAGCTTAAATTCAAGAATAATCATTTGCTTTTTCATTACAGTTAAATTAGTTTGAATTATTTTGAATCAGGGCTAGTTAAAGAAAAAGCAACTTATTTTTGACAGTAATGACTAATAGCTAATAAACACGAGTCTATGTTCAACCTTATTTTTGAAAGTGAACATTAAGTTGGAACTTGATGGAAATGAAAAGCTTCTCTACCTAAAATGAATGATGAAGGCATTCACAAAGAGGAGCTCAAGCAAATAGGGAACTATTTTAAAAATCTGTTGAAATGGTTATTGTAAGTCACTTATAAATAAAGTTTATTTGTATTTATATCATACGCTTCACGTTCACATTATCGTGGAATGAATAAAAATGTTTGAAACATTTAAAGTTATTCACACCTTTTATGCAGAAAGACCTTGTAACTTGTTGTTTCAGTATTTTTCTTCTTTGAAGGCTATTCATGAATGCTCACAGATGAAGTACATTCTCAAAATTTTGTGTTTATTTTATGATCAAACCTACAGTATACAAAGTATACAATATATTGAAATACTATAAATTATTATATAAGCATTAATAATGCTTTTGTTTGTTTATCAGAATAGATTTTAATGTAAAAAATACTTAGAAATATGAAATATATTTTTACATCTACAGTTAATTTCTATCCTCCATAGTCTGACAGTCAAGTGCTAAAACCTCCAAAGCCTCCAGACAAACCACTTATGCCTTACATGAGATATAGTCATAAGGTAAGTTTTAATATAGACTAGCAAAGACCTGCAAAACATTTGCAGTCAAATTAGTATCTTTATTGTGACAGTTATTCATTAAATACACTATTTCTAGAATAATAGAAAGTAATTCTAATCACAGACACCAAAATCTACAAGTCTACTTGTCTTAGGCCTAACATTAGATAAGTATTAAGTATAGCCTACATTCGATAAAGAGATAAATTAACACTGTAACTTGTGTAAGTTTTTCTTTAGTTTGAGCTAAACTTTATCATACTTAATGTTATCAATAAATAAGCTTACAATGCTATTCTCTAATAGAAATTTTGTACAACATATTAAAGGTTTATCAAAGCTAAAAATGTCCAATGTTAAGTTAAAGTATATATACAGCTGCCTTTTGTTTACATCCATTGAAATGAAGTGCACACACATGCACATTTAGATAGTAAGGCACATGCACATTTTCAGGACAGACAAAACTGAGTATTATTATTATTATAGATACATCAAGACTACACTAATTGTAATGGATTTACTGTAAAAAAAATATATGTAACAGTACACAGACATTCCAGTCTTTTATGTGTCCTGATAAATACTGGAGAATTAAGTTTAAATTAGAGTTCTGAAGTATATAAGGTTGTTGCCTTTCCAATTTAAATAATGCATTGGTGCTTAAAATTACTATTTATTTTGTTTTTTCAAAATTGAGTAATGGCTCTTTTTTGAAAAAATAGGAATTTATAGTTTGTTTTGGGTGACATCCAGTTTTTAATTTTTGAAAATTGTTATTTAGCCATCTCTGATCATTTGTCTTTTCATTATTCATTCCAGTTATTGATGTGCACTTATCATTGATCAGGTTTGGGACCAAGTGAAAGCACAAACCAATACTTGATGAAACTGAAAAGATATTTAAATAATTTTGATTTTTTAGTAAGTTTTAACATTAGAGAAGAAAAAAATTGATACTACTTGAATGCCACCTGATGAACATTTGAATCTTTAGAACTATCTTCGAATTCCTGCCTAGCAAATGTACCATCAAACATTTGAACACATTCCTAATTAGTCCATGTGTTTAATAATTTAATATTTCTGGTTTCAGATAATAAATATTGCTTAAATAAATATGTGAAAATAACAAAAAGACATCTTACTCAGTTTAGAATTTAAAGATATTCAATGAATATTGCATTTTATTATCCTTCAATACATGATGTTTCTGATTGTTAAAAATGTTTTGCATATGGTTTATCTTTTCTTTTAAGAATATTTTTCACTGTTTCAGTGAGTCTGATCTAAAAACAGAGTAAATGAGAATTTTTTTTATATCAACAAATTCAATAGTTTTTTTGTCTAAAATATATTTACTTATGACTTCCACTTTTGTTACACTGAAAAAGGTGGTAAGATATGCAGTAATGATCAAATAAACTTTAAATTGATTGTTTGATCTGATAATAATAAATTTGTTGGAACAGTTATGATTTCTTTGTCTTAGGCCTTATTTTAATAAACATAAGATGTACAAGTGAGTTTTAATTTGCTCAGCATATGGCAATAATCTGACAGACAATAGGTGGCACCATGTTGATTAAATATATATGTTGGAAAGTGAAATGAACATTAATGGTTAAATTTAGGATACTGAAGATTTGTAAATCAAGGCAATCACTATAATATTAGAAAGTTTTTGTTTTCATGACTGGAAAAAATAAAAGACACATTCAGTTTCATATCACACGTACAAAAATGTTGCACTTGGTCAGTAATTTTTACATACAACTTGTAAGAGTAAAGACAAACATTTTATGAGTTACTTTTTCATTTCTTATGAGGATATTCAAAATAATGACAGAAACATTTAGCCATTTGTCTGGAAATATATCTAAAACACAACGAAGCTTTGGAAATGGCAACTTTTAAACATTAATATAGTTTATTTCTTTTCTTCAAAATTAGATGGAGTACAGTGAAGCTTTAAAATGTTATCACAATTCTCCAGCTTACCAGGCTTGGGTTGCTGCTAAAGTTTGAAGTAAAGATCCATATTCATGGTATAGTTGGTACTAAGGATTGCATCTTATCCCTGTAGCAGTATTTTAAATTTTTAGGTAGTCAAATCTGAAATTCTGGTAAAATGCTTTGGGTACTGAATTGTTTACAATATTGTATAATAAGGAAGTAAGTAGAAATTTTTCTTAACTCTGAAGCTCATATTTCTGTGTCATCACAACTACTTTACCTATTAGCCAAAATTATTTTATTTAGTATGCTTGTAAACTCTTCGGTTAATATACATAGTGTTTTGAGTTGGTTTCACTCACTACAATAAACCTATATGCATATAGGAATTGAAAAATATGTTTTTAGTATTTTAAACATCCATTTAAATCAGATAGACATAGGGGTGAAATATTGAAAGCCTTTCCTTGTTGAGTTTGAACTCATGCTGTCATCAAAGCATATGAGTAAAAATTTCTGAATGTCCTTCACATATTGCACAGCATGGATCACTTAACCATTACTCTCCACTCTCCCATGTAACTTATTGTGTAAGCATCAGGAGTTTTTACATGAGCTATGATTTTCTACTGTAATTTTGATTTTCTTTTTGGAAGGCATAATGTTAACTTTGTTACCACATTCATTCTTATGCAACTATTTCCACCACTGTTGGAATATCTGCAACTTACAATTGTCTATTGGAATTTCTTCTTTATGTTTGAAGTTCATTGGTGAGTTTTCCATTGTAAGTTACTCTTGACTTGCACCTACTCATTATCTGAATTTTTTTCACCAATGCCTTTCTCCAGGGCTGTAGTGACATGTTGGGGAACTGTTATCTCTATGGGCTGTATTCTTCTCAGATATCCCATTCTCGCATCATTCTCGCTCCTGCCCTTGTTACAGCATCACTGTGTATTATTACTCACATACACTTCAACTGTTTTGACATACATCAACAGATAGGGTGGGACCTGATCCCAAAGCTTTGATTGCAGCAGTTTTTCTACTTTTTTAGCTACATTCACCTCATGTCTTTCTTTGAGTTGGTATTTTTTTGGTTGCACCAATGGTTTAATAATCTTATGCTTGATGCATTTGCAATTGTTGTGCATCATTATCTGCTGCTTTACTAGTTTCTAGTTCTGGATCCAACTTTTCTAGTAGTGGATGCTTTGAGTCTATCATGGGAGAACATATTTGTGTATTTCTACCCATTTTTTCATCTTATTTCTCAAATTTTCGCCAAGATCAATTGGTCACATTGTCCAATTATTCTTAGTGCCTCATGCTATGCTGGTCTGGTTCACCATGATTTCCATTTCTCTTGTCTTTCTCAGAGGGATCTTACTCCATTACATTTTTTGGTACATCTTACACCATAACACTTGTCTTTTTCAGCTTCACATTTTGCTGTTATGCAATTCTTTGTTTGTTTGAGCCTGCACAGTTTGGTTTCTTGTCTTTCCCCAACTCATTCTTAGCTTGCCTTCTTTTTTTTTTTTTCATTTACCTCTTTCATGATTGTGGTTTTTCTGCTTCTGTTGCAGACTACAGAGCTGCACCCTCAGCAACTTTCAGTTACCACAAAAGTCATGAGTCTCTGTCATCCACACTTTTTGCATTTTTTTTTCTTTCTTTTATTACATCTCTCACAAGTACTGAGACATTGTCCTTAGTGAGATTTAAGTATGAGAAATAGTTTTCACTGTTTTTTTGTCCTATTGTGTTATATACTCCGAGCTACCCTGATTATTCTTACAAAATATATTAGAAGTTATAGTATGGAAACTCTAAAGTTCAATTTGGGGTCATGAGCCTGTAGCAAGAGAGTTAATGGTGAAAGTTCCTAATTTTAAGCCCTGATTCCTCCAAAAAAACACCTTTTGTGTAAATAAGTTTTTGTAGTTTGGATTCATGGCATAAAAAATCTACCAGTAAAATATCATTCCTGGCATTTTTGGGTGTGACAGTTGCTGAGGTATCCGTGTTAATTTATATTTTGTTTGATATCAAAATTTAATTAATTGATATTCTTTAAATTGATAAAAATGACTTAAAGAGGCATAACAAAATGAGTTATTGTTTTAACAGTCTTCCAAATTCTGATGTATTGCTTTTTGTAAAATTATAAATGTAGTTTTTCCATTTTAATAAATCGATGTAAGATCAAATTACCATATCACTTATTATAGATTGTGCCAATATACCAATAAATTTATGCATAAAGATTCTAAGTATAATATTGAAGCTATAATTAAATAGTATACCATATTTTCAGACTTAATGTGGAAATTTAAAAGTCTGGCATTGAACTAACATTGTTGATAACATCTGCAATTATTTTTGGTAGAGTCACTTATCCTAAACAGTTGAAATAGTATTCCTAGAATGTTTTTGTCAATGATATTGCAATAAACTGGCAAGCATTTATTAATTGTGAAAATTCAGTAGTTAAGCTTTTTTCATAGAGCTTATCTACATATTGATTTAAGAGTAGTCTTTAACCATCTGTGTCTGGGTTTAGTCGTGTTGATCAACCTTGTAACCACCACAGTCATGAAATTGTACATACTATAACTGAATATACTAAATTTATTTTCACAAAATTTAGCTGGCCTTTAGTAAACATCACAAGTCTATTGTACACAAAATATCAGTGTTTTTTTAATTAAGTATTTTTACTAAAGATTTGTCTTTGAATTTACTAAGCCTTTACTGAGTTAGTGTGAATGCAAGGTTATTATCATGTTAAGAATAAAAAATACTTTTATTTACATCTTAAAGTTCATATTAGATTTGCACAACCTCTAGGATCTCCTAAATGATCATCAGTTTTTTTTAGTAAAACATTTTATATTCATCTATTTTCTTTGCCCTAATACGGTATACAGTCTTGTTCCATTTGACTGACCTTGTAACCACCATGTGGCAAAAAAATGCAAAATATATCTAAAGTACCCCTTTTCTTTCTAGAATGACTGCACATTGTAACAAACAATTATATGCTACTTATTTCTACAGCCAAAGCTAATACCTTTCAAATATCCTAGTCATTTAGATATATTACTTTACAGCTGCACTTAGAGTATGGCAAAAGCAATTTATCACAGTAGAACTGCTTTGTGTGAAAAAAGGATTGAGTTACTAAATGCCAGGTCAAATTACAATCATTCTGTGCTTGCAATGTGCATATACTATCATGAGTATTTTGTTATTTGTTTTGCATTAAAGTTTTCTTGTCTTTACCTCAAAATTTTTTAATTTTTACATTTTAGTTATTCCTATGACAATAAATAAAAAAATGATAAATTTAGCACCTAGTGTGGGTCTTGTACTTTTTCAAGTTTTTTGTTGTTGAAGTCTCAAAGAAGTTAACCCCACTTTTTGTTAGGGTTGTTGGTAGTAGTTTATGTAATTTTTATTTATTTTTAAAATGCATTTTAGAACACAAGATATCAACAAGGAAAAACAATGCAAAATCCTGAAACTATTATAATTTAATTGGCTTTCTAATTAAGCCATAAGTGGGTTGAAATAATTTTGTTAGCTGGTTGAGATGATTTTGACTATAGAAACAATAAAACTGTAAGATGAATAATTCAAAAACTGTCGTCAGGATAAGCTAGCCTTATAGGAAAGCCAGTAAATTAATATTTTTCTCTTTCTACTAACGTTTTTTGAAAGACAGGATGTGAGAGGATCAAACAATCAAATTGCATATAACTTTTAGTAGACCATTTTAATTTTTTCTGCTTTATTACCTTGATGACATTTCAGTAGACTAGTGTCTGGTTATTTAGCAAGAAAAATGTTCTGTATAGTACTACACAATGTAGGAAACCATAAATATTGTGTGCTTTTGAGCTATTATCAGAAGATACTGCTTAATGCTAGAAAACTGACAATCTTTAATATTATATCATGTTTAATTATGCTTATAATATGAGTACATTATTGTCTGATATCTCTATTATAACCATTAGACATGCTACAAATGTGTTGACACCGCAACTGACCAAAAAGTGGTAGAAAGAATACACGAGCAACTGAAATACGAAATGATGACAACTGATGAACAGCAGTTTTCGAAGTCAGAAGATCGTGATCAAGAACAGTCTTATGAGCAGCAGGAAATGGATATCTCCCAGTCATCAATAGACTCCACCAGCAACATTCAATCAGAAAAAGCATGGAGATATTCTGATATCTAGTAGATTGACGTGAAACCAGTTCAGATGAAGGTTCCAGAAGATATTAACAGTGGTCAGGTGTGACAGCTTATTAATTATAAATGGAAGACAGTTCCTTTTTTTACTGGAAAAAAGTTTTAAAGATTAAAAGAAAAAGCCATATTCGTGTGTTTATAATTTATATTCCAACTTATTTACATATCACTTTAATTGATAAAGGATTTCAGTCTTGTAATAAATATGATTTGGTTTCTTGGAATCTTTGGATCAGATTTTGGCCTCAGATGAAAGTTCTATTGGAGACAGTATTCATCAGTTGACAAAATCTATCAATTCTGAAGAGAAGATAGAAGGTCATTATCATCCAGAACAGTAGCAGAATGTAGAATCCCATAACCAGTTGAAACTGCACGGTAGAGTTATAAATTTAAGTGGGGATTTAATTTTTGTGGTTATGGGTTTAAAATGGAAATCTGGTTATATAGAGAAAACATTTTCCCAACATTTTGCTTATTTAGTATGTGTAATAAGTTCCAATGATCCAAAAATATTTGAATCTTATTTAAACAGTTATGGAAATAAAAATAATGCACCTGTTCCAAACATTACATTATTGACTACACCCACTGCTGAATACTTTCAGTAAAAATACATCATGTTACTTATTAAGATTGCTACCAGAAATTATTATGCTGGATGAATTTCCAAAAAAAAGTATAAAAAAGAATACTGATGTAATACAATAGTTGTAACCGACTGTAGGAATACATGTACTTGTTCACTCACCTAAGACAGGTTTAAATAACTGTTTCATAAAAGTTTTTGTAAAGGTGGGAAAAAACAAACTAAAACATACAATAATCATTATCAGTGTATATTTTTAAAAAATATCCAATAAAGACATTTTATTTTATTGTGTTTGGCTATTTAATCATAATTGGTCTACTAGAGGAAATCTTTTTCCATACAGCCTTCTTCATTATGGCAACTTATTTTAAGGCAGATATTGTCTGGAAAATTAAAGAAATTGTTATTATTTTTTTTTAATTTATAGTTGCATTACTGGACTATAGTGAGGTAAACTAAAAGCAGGAAAGGGTAAACAGAAATATGAAGTGATGTATGTTTGCACATATATATTTATCATCTGAGTGCAGTTTATTTATTTTGTATATTTTTCAGAATATAGTAAAAGTTATGAACATTTTTAATACTGTTTTTAAGAGTAAAGTTACTTTCTCGTTAATATATCTAGTTTGGCAGCAATTAAAGATGGTTTCACTTGAATTTTAGTCAAATTACCCATAGATTTCACTTAAGTACTAACATTTATTGCAATTATGAAGTAATGCAATTAAATTTGAAAATATTGAGTATATTTAACACATAAAGAACAATTTTTTATATCATGTAATACAATTTGTGGTTCAGTGCATAACTTAGAATAAATATCATCATGTGATAATTTCAGTGAACCAGTAGTCTTATTACTATCTGATAGTGTATTGTGAGTGCTTTAGTTTGTCAGGGGCTCATTAATATGTTGTAGCCACAGAGACTTCATACTTGGCACCCTAAAAATGCAAGGTGGGTCATAGCAAACATGCCAGTAAAAGAAAACGAATTTACAAGGAACAAACCTTACTTAATAATTAAACTGAATGTTCATTACTGTGGAACCTGTCTGACATTACAAATGTACAATGTCCCTACATGAACATGTTGCATGATGTACATCAGAATTAGTATCCTTAGTACCTTTATTGGGGGTTTTCTATTGCCCATTCTTTATATAAAAAAATCAGTTTTATCTCAAGCTTGTTACATTTTAGATGATTTTGATAAAAAGAATAAAGTTGTGCATGTTGAACAAATTTGCTGTTATATTTTTGCAGTATTTTTAGTAATATGTGCCAATATTGAAGTTTGTACAACTGCAAGTTTCAAATGTAAATTTGTTCTTAATACACTACTCGTCCTGTGTAGTGCACGGAAATTCTTATATTTACAGTTTGTTTCATGTAATAAGTGTGGGTGTCAAAAAACAAAACAAAAAACTAGCACTTGAAATGCTGAATTTTGCCAAATGAAAAATCTGGTGAATAAAGTGTTGGTGAATTTTTTTATGTAATATAACTTCAGTGTAAGTTCAAGTAAAGAAAGTGATTTAATAACATCTGTCATTAATGCCAGGAAGCAATGACTTGTAAAGCAACAAGTATTTGAAATTATCTTAAGTTATTGTTTCACAGACTGAAATTAACCAATAAGTCAGTGGTTTCCAAACTGTGTGTCGCAGCAAGTTGATAGGGATGTCACAAGAGTTTCACCAAATGAAGGATAATTAAGAACAAAAACAAACAAACAACAACTAGCAAATCAAGGTAAGTGGGTTAAGGTGTCATCAATGAAAAAAGTTTGGAAACTACTGCAACAAGTTTTGCAATTGGCCTAAATATAATACTTGTTCTGTATCTAAATTTTTAAAAAATATGGTTTAGAATGTTGGGGCTGCTCTCAACACTTTCTTAAGTTCTCATATTTTTTTTTTTTTTATGAGAACAAAGAGTGATGATTAATGAGTGCAATGTAATATATAGGTGCAGATGTTGATGTAGTGTAAGCTGGACGTTCCAGAAGACTTGACCATTTTTCTAGTTCTATATGTTAGTTTTATTTCCTATATATTGCTTTACATTATCATTTACTCTAATTCACATTCCCCTTTTGTTTTTTATTTTGTTTCTCAATCCTGTGAAAGCTGTTTTAACATCGTTTTAATTATTATCATTATTCCATCTTTCATGTAATGTACACATTTCTTTTGTACAAACTAAACCTGACACTAATTGTCTCTGGTCATGATTGGCTAGGCTCCAAGGTCTACTCATCTGGAATGTCCAGCTTACATGACATTGACATTTGTACCTGTATATTACATTGCACTCATTAATCATCACCCTTCATTCTCCTGAAGAAGAATAGCCAACTATTTGAAAATGCTCAAGTTTTGGGTCTTTTTTTTTTGTAAATTCATTACACCTTTTGTGTGTGATCCTGTGTACTGACGCTTTTATAAGAATTAAGTTTCCTAGATATTTGCCTTGGGAACCATACAGTGAAACTTGTATATTGATTAAACTTTGATACTAACTTCTTCCTTGCAACTAAACAGAATATTTCCTTAGAAGCAATTGGAACTGATGCTAAAATGCCTTTTGTATCAGTAAACACCATTAACAGTGAGACAAGAAACTTTGCTCAACAAGGGAATGGGTTTTTAGTGTTGAATAAACTCTTTGAGTTGAGAATGTCTGAACTGTAAAGTGTAGAGTGAACTGTAAATGTGTAAAAGAACAGGCACTAAAAATATGATGGTTGATTCTTAGAACTGGTTCTTAAAATAAAGAAATACTATTTTTAATTTTTTAGAAAAAGAATATGATAAAGTGTTTTACATACATGTTAAATCCTGTTTTACATTGGAGAATTAATTTTTGAAATGACTTCTTTTAAAAGTAGGAAGAGTTGAAATTTTTTAATGTTAAAAGTTCAACACATTTGGCTATACACTATATTTTCATATTAAACACTCATGTTATTTTTTAAGCATGAAATTTCAAAATTAGAAGAAGTAAATATTCAATGTAGTAATATTTTTAAGATACTACTAAGTAGTATATTTAGTTTTCAAAAATTAAAACTTTATAACCATAGAATATTTGTTTGTAAATGGGGTTGCACTTTCAGATAACTATAAGCTCAGATAACAAGCATATTTCTTTGAATTAAAAATTGATACTCATATAGACAGTTTGAGATCTAGAATAACAGAATCACCTTTCATCAACTTGGCTAAAGGGATAAGTTTGTTAAGGAGTCTACTTTGTAGTCTTAATACAACTTAAATTGAACAACTGTTCTGTAGTAGTTTATCACCAGTAATTTCAAGAGCAAGGAAGTAAATGAGAGTTGTATGTAAAGTCAGTAAGCTAGAATTTAAAGAGGTATGGAAAATTTTTGATAATATAGGCCAATTATTTTTACACAAAACTTAAGTAGTGGTATTCAAAATGTATTGTCTATAGTGAGTTAGTCATTTGTAGAGTTACAACAAAACTCTCAGGTTTGTTTTTGGTCATACTTTGTAAGTAGCACATTATTAGCTATCATATTGCTAAAATAAAACAAGTTTTATGTTCCACTATTTCTGAAATAATGTATTGGTTAACTTGTCTTGGATCCAGTTTGAAGTGTTTGGAAAACTAAATCGAAATCTGTTATCACTCTTGATTCATAGTGATTGATAAAAAGAGGTTGGAATAGAAACCAGATTTGCAAACTAGTTGGGGATCTGAAAGAAATGAAACATATGAGGTACTTTAAAAAATAATTAAAATGCAGCATTTCTCTGAAAACAAAATATATTTATTGAAGCTGACAATGGCTTCCACTTGGAAAACACACGAAATGTGTACGCTATGTTTTTCTATTGAACATATCACTTACCTAGCACTTATACAATCGAATGTGTTTGAAATAAATTACCTTGCTTGTTCTTCACCTTTTAATAAATGAATGAAAATATTTTTATCGTGGTTTTAAAGCAACTCTACACAATAGGATAACTGCGATTTGACTACGGAGAGGAATAGAGCTCTAGATTCTATAGTTGTATACTGTTACGTCTCCGTTTGTTAATTAACTTTCCGTAACTTCGTTCCGACGAAACTTAAGCGACACAATGCCTTTCTTAATAAAACTGGTTTATTTCCGAATATAACTTTACCAATACACTCAACTTCAACAAACGCTGTAACGTCTCTCTGACTGCAGTTCAATTACTCACTGTCTATACACACATTACAATCCCCGCGTCACGTTGTCCCCTCTTATATATACCCGCCTACCCTATCTAGTAAATACTAGAGCATTCATAAAAAAACAAGATAGTTCTAGAAAATAGAGGGCGCCACACCAGTCACGTGACCTCGACGCAACAATACGTTAACGTAAAAATTTCAAGACAATAAAACCATCACAAGCCTGTGTACTTTTATCAAATTAGAGAAATGATGACAAATATTTGTTGTTTCTTTTTAATTTGTGGGAGAAAAGTTTTATTGTTTTAGTTCTTAATCATAAAGTTACACTCTGGGCTATCTGCTCTCTACCTGGAGGGAGTATCAAAAATTGGAATTTTAGTGTTATAAGTCCTCAGACTTACCGATGAACCACGAAGGGGAGGATAGAGGAGAAAAGATCATAAAAATATAACTGAAATTTGAAATGTAATTTAAAGAAAGTTAAATAAGATATATATTTTTATCAGCCAAGAAAAGCGTAATTACCGTCCACCATCAAAAAAGTTAGTTCATCTTTTCTTCTTCATATTTTATGATACAGTTTCAACTATTATTATGAGCAAGAAAAACACTGAATCGCCGTTTTAGTAAAAGAAAAAATAAAATTACAATTTTTATGAGAAAATAATACATAATTTTTGTTTTTGATGCGTTGTAGTTTGGTGGAAAATATAATACACAAGTACATCTAAACATTTTTAATTTACTTTTTAATGCGTTTTTGTAGACCAACCTTAGAGAAAAATATAATCCGCGAACTCTATTCTCTACTTTATTTTACGAATATTTGGACGGACTTGCTTACCATAATGTCTACGTTGTATTTAATAAATCTATTTATCTTAAGGAAAAACAAGATTAAATTGCGAAGAAATAAAAAAACTGGGACAGCATTGAAGAGAAGATCTGTTCACAAAACAAAATCAGAAATTTACCAAATACAAATAAGAGAAATTTATTTTTCAAGGCA